TCTTCCAGTCATCCGGCACCTGGCCTGAGCACCACGAGCTTCTCCAGAGACTTGAGGTGTCTTCTGTACATTGTCTGCATCTCAGCTCTGTACAGTAAGGTGGGGACCACAACTGCCTGATAACAATGATAACCCATGAGCTTTGTTTTGGATCTGATGTCACAATCTTAAACCACCTGTTTCCTCAGGCATTCAAAGGGTGCACTTGCACATTTGAGGCGATGTTGGATTTCTTCATCAGTGCCAGCCTTCTGTGAGAGATGGATTCCAAGTTACAGGGAATACTGTGTCCTCCAGAGTTTACTGTGAATCTGAATTACTGGAGCTGGAGACTGCTCATTAAGAGCTTGTTGATGGAGGATCTTAGTCTCCTGAATGTTAAGCATCAGTCCCATTTTCTTGAATGCCTCAGTAAAACCGTTGATGATTGCCTGAAGCTCTGCTTTCAAGTGAGCACAGACTACAGCATCATCAGTGTAATGGAGCTCGATGATTGAGGTCAGAGTGGTTTTGGTTTGGAGTCAGCTGAGATTACACAGTTTACCATTCATTCAGTAGTTTAGCTCCACTCTGACTGGCAGCTTGTTGGTGTTCAGATGTAGCATCATGGTAAGAAATATCGAGAAGAGTAATGATGTAGTGGTGACATATTTGGATGGGTATCCATACTTCAGAAGGATCCTCCACGGTGGTTCTTGATGACAGAGTCGAAGCCTTCTGTGAGGTCAAAGAAGACCATGTAGAGAGGTTTATGTTGCTCCCAGCATTTTTCCTGCAGCTGGTGAGCTGTGACGATCATGTCAGTTGTGCCTCTTGATGCCCCAAACCCACACTGAGATTCCAGGAGGAGCTTTTCAGCAAGTAGAAGTAGATGGCTTAGGAGGGTTCCTGTGGTGGACAGCCAGGCCATCCTTCTGTAATTTCTTGAAGATTGTCACAGTCATGGTGTCCTAAACTAATTTGCAGGTGAGGTGCTTTTCAAGAATTGCTTGTGTAAACACCAGTGTGTCTACCATTTGCTAGTCAGTCATGCCAACCTTGCACAGCTAAAGGCACTCATTATAAATGCAATAACTTCAGGACAAAAACTGACCGTGGTGGCACACTGATTTTGGCTCTAGTTATCATAGCAGTGCAAGTCCTCCTGCTGGCATTCCTGTCCAGCCAATAAGGCCACAATCATCTTCAGAATTTCGGTTGAAAAATACTGTCCTGGATTGCAAATCGTGAAGATGCCTTCTGATTAGATCAGCTTAAAACTGGAGCAAGAATCTTTCTGCCAGGGGAAGGATGGAGAGGAGGCTGAAGAGGAACACAATTGTGGCTTTGAGGAGCTCCAACAGAATGGAGGAGATGCAGTAACTTTCCAAGTCCACTTTCTGCTGTTGCTGCTGCAGAGGACTTAATATCTTGAATGCTTTCTGTGAGGATTTTACAGGGAAAATGCCCAGCCAGAGATCAAAAGAGGAAGCCCTCTCACTAGAGCAGAATGACTGGCTTGTCCTGCCTTCCTCAGAAATTGGGTTGCTATCCCTGTTCAGGAGGAGATATAGTATCAGGGGAACTGGGAAAAATCCTGCTATGGCTTAGTATAGTTGTCACAATCTCAGCCTGCCACAGGGACTTGGGGGCTTCACTTTCTCCTGCCTCAGAATTGAAAATCTGTAGCCGGAGTACTGGGCGTCACAGTCAGCAGTCTGTCCAGTGCAATTAAAGCTGAGCATCATGCAAGGGTCCAGTAATCCTTATTAGTGCAAAATATGTGCATTGAGGGGGAATTTACAGAGAAATTCCCTGGGGGAATTTACAGACAAAGTTAAATGGCAAGGTTTTATTATTAGTCTATTTGCAGTTTTCTGTCTTCAAATAATTATTTATCTTCAATTTACTGCTGTGCTGAAAGTAATTCAGAAGAGAACCACCCTACTTGTCTGTTTTCCAGCCCCTTCCCTGTATTGGACTGATACCTTTTAGGTATTGTAAACCCTCTGAACACACATCACGGGAATATGTTACACATTGTGTTAGGTATGTCATGAACAGCAGGTCCCCTAACTCACACAGACCGATGGCGTGGTAAGGATTAACTGGGGAGGTAGAAGCAGTAATTTGTATGCAACCCCTTAGCATTTGTTTCAAGGTCAAGGGGCCAGCTGAGCCTCTCAGCTTGTTGGGCTTAAGTA